CCATATGCAACGAAAGCCACGGGGAGGGTGTGGGGTTCTGTCATATTATTTTCTTATGTTTCTAAGCATAAATTATTTTTTTAAGTGAAAAAATGTGTTTTAAACTCAATCTACGGCAACTTTATTAGTCCCCGTTCGACGAAGTCTGAAAACGGGGACTTATAATTCGGTCTCCGTCCGTCCGTCCGTCTGTGCGTCCGTCCGTCTGTGCGTCCGTGTGTCCGTCCGTCCGTCCGGAGTCATATCTCAGAATCCCTTGGACCGATTCCGTTCATTCTTTGCATGTGCCTAGTACTTTATGTGGGACATATGCACATGCAGTGGTTTAGCGATTCGATTCAAAATGGCCGACTGGCAGCCATCTTGTTTTTTGAAAATGTTGTATTTTGGACATGCTTTGTCAGTTTTCATTCAAACTTGGTACATAGATTATACATGTTAGGATACATGTCCATGATGATTTATTTCACAATTGGATCAAAGATGGCCGACTGGCAGCCATCTTGTTTTTTGAAAATGTCGTATTTTGGACATGCTTTGTCAGTTTTTCATTCAAATTTAATACATAGATCATGCATGTTAGGATACATGTCCCCGACCGTCCGTGAGTTCCTGAGTCGTCCGTCTGACCGTCCGTGTGTTGGTCTCTCCGTGCGTCAGTCTATCCTATGTCATATTTCAGAATCCTGTGGATCGATTCCGTTCATTCTTTGCATGTGCCTAGTACCTTATGTGGGACATATGCACATGCAGTGGTTTAGCGATTCGATTCAAAATGGCCGCCTGGCAGCCATCTTGTTTTTGAAAATGTTGTATTTTGGACATGCTTTGTCAGTTGTCATTCAAACTTGGTACATAGATTATACATGTTAGGATACATGTCCATGACGATTTATTTCGCAATTGGATCAAAGATGGTCGACTGGCAGGCATCTTGTTTTTGTTTTTTTATGCGGTATCTTGGACGTGCTCTGTCAGTTTTCATTCAAATTTGGCACATACATGTACTTTATACATGTTAGGATGCATGTCCATGACAATTTGTTTCAAAATCTGGTCAAGGATGGCCGATTGACAGCCATCTGACTTTTTGGCCTTACTACTATATTTCCACAATTTATGTACCATTTTCATTCGTATTTGGCACATACATCATACATATCAGTGTGTTTCATAATCAGATCAAAGATGGCAGAATAACGGCTGTTTTTATTTTTGGCCATATTACTACTACACAGAACACATGTTTTGATGTAAATAAACAATCTGTTGTATACGCCACTTGGAACTCAAGTTTCAAGGACACGCTCGCGACAACCCCTCCGCTTTAATATGACGAGCACAAATCAGAACTTAATGGGGACTGTGTCATTTTCAATGACTTGTTTTTGTGTATTTTAAAATGAGGCTCCTCATTAGCTTCTTATTTGCATACAGAAATTCCCCTTGTGACGTCAGAAGGGGAAGTCGCATGGCAGCTTGCATTGCCGATACGTGTAAATAAGGCAAATTTCTTCTGCAGTTTTCTCGTCTTTGACTAAATTTTCACTTATGTACTTGTTCGTCGAGGAGGAATGAACCATAATGAACACATAGTATCAATTTTTGTTGCATGGGGTTGAATTAGATGTGAAATATGTTCGTTCTGGTGTAGCTGGTCACCGTGATCGTCAGCGGCGCACGTTTTTACACTGTCGCTGGACAAAATAGAATTTGACGTCGGAATTATCTCGTTATTTAGCAGGTTACTGGGCACGTCACTACACTGTTTTATTTCATCGATCGTCTGAGTAAAACTTTCAAAATTAAAATAAAAGAGAACATATTTTGACATTCTAAACATTAGACCATAGTGATCACTATAAAATAATTTAAAAAGCGACAAATCACAGTTACTAAATAAATGACAGCTGCGTGGAAATAAATTGAAATTTTGTTGAAATAGGTGAACGCGTCGGGTCACGACGAGGGCAAGTACGTTAAAAGCGGATAACAAAAATAATCGAGATCGACACACATACAGATAAATAAATTCAGAGTGGATTCGAGTTAGCGTGATCCATGGCGTAATTGTTATAATTATAACATCATATTAAAACTTTATTTGGTGGAAACACATTGACCAAGCCCGGATTCTTATTTCAGAAATTATCACGCAGATCAAGCTGCAAGCATGGAGGTAAAAAAAGAACAGAGGTGTGAATTCGACATTCAACACAAACCACCTAACAATTCAGAAACTTTTAGCCTTCGAAAATGAAAACAATTAACAGTGTGTAAGGGCTGTGTAATTTCCTGTTTTTCCGACGCTTCGTTTTCGTGTCACTGTCAAAGTTATTGCTACCTTTTACTTAACAGGGACTAAATGGTTTCTATAAAACGATAATCAGGATCGCAAAAAAAGTCAACTCATTTGAAACACTTGCCGAACGTCTATCTCTCTTCTGAAATCCGCCTCGGTGATCATGGTCCGGAATCTATTTCTTTCAAAAGTGTTGTGCCAGGTTTATGTTGTCGGCGTTGTTTTTTTGTCATGGACGAGGACAGTTTTTCCCAAAAAAAAAGGAATCTGAGGTTAAGTGGTTTTCGTCCACTGATGTTGCACCCTCAGGTCGATTAGAAATGTGTGAATACTTACACTATGACTATACGTTTCACTGCAACTGCCCACAACACAACATCTAAAAACTCTCTCTCAAAAAATTAAAATAGTCAAAAAAAAAGAAAACAAAACGCCGACCAAAAAATATATATCGTTTAAAAGTACTGTATGACCAGTGTTATTACGGCTCAGGGGTATGACTTCCTCTCACATTTTGGCATTTGGTGGCGCACTTTCGGCGAGAGTCGGAAATCCGGAAAGAGTCGTTCGTTTCAGATAGGTGGGCGTGGCTACAACACGAGAATATCCCAAATTTACTTG